CTTGCGACGGAAGAAGGATCGACCGAGGCGGATTTGAACATAGTGGTGATGGCGTCGGCGATGCCATGGCTTGGGTCGGTAGTAGTGGGTGCCTTGTGCCTGAGTTATGGTATGAGCTCGCGTTCTCATCAGGGGGTGATGGACTTCCGGTAGACATCATCATGCGTGTTCTTTGGGTCTTATGAGGGAGTGGGCTAAGCGAGGAAGCGTGGTATTCAACGTATGGGTATAGGACTCGTACCAAGCAACAATTCCTCGGTCATCTTCACTCGATCTTATAGGATCAATGATGACTCCGTCAGTGTTGGTTCTATGCGCGGTATTAGCCTCATGGTCCTCGAAACTCTGATGTACAGTACGTGCCCACCGACGTCAACGCCTATTCGCAGATTCTTTCCTGTCGTCATCGTAGCCGTGGATACTTCCAAGATGAGAGCGTCTTCTGATCGAATTGGAGTTGGCTGGTCACGATGCGTCCAGAATCCATCTGATAAGATTTCGATTGGTGGGGCGAGCTAGGTCCGGAATTCGGACGTTCGCGCCCCAAGCCGCCTTCTTACTTTATCGCTCACCCATACCCCACTCTTGGAGTTACTTCCTACTCCAATTCATTACCCCGTCATTCAAGAGCTTGCCCATTGGTAGCAGCAGAGCTTGATATGGGATTTCTTCGGCGCTGATCACTGCGCTCGGATGATCAGATAAGATAGGCGCAAATACCCCTCTTTCTAACGGCGGAAAAGGTGTTCTTCCCGCGTATGCTGCATCGTCGCCCCCGTCGGCGCATTATCATCTTCACTAAACTTGGGTCGGCGTTAGATCAGCTAGATTGGGGTGACTCCGAGCGCGGTTGATAACAAGGGTAGCAACACTAAGATGGCGGAAAGAGCTCACCACTGGCGTTCGTCGCAATTACTTCTCTCCCAGCCTCCTTGACTAGCGACGCGTCCCTTGGTTCGCGTTCATCATGACTTTGAGACAGCGCTTGAGGAATGTCGATGAGAAAGTACGTCTCCGTGGAGACGATGCGAAGCATGAGCAAACAGATGCATGGAGCAACCGCGATTTGATCCCCCTCCCGCCAGAGCGCAGAACATGGGGCTGGTTCAATTTCTTCGGGTTTTGGGCGATTTCATCGCTGAACCTCGCGAATTGGCAAACACCAAGTACCTTCTTGAGTAAGCTATGCCAAATGATTCTCGTCGCTTTCGATCGCTGATATCACCGAAGCTATGGGTTTATCTGTCTCACAGTCTATCCTCATCATCGTTGTGAGCTGCTTGTTGATCGCTTTCTTCTCCACGCTTATTGCTTGGGTTGGATTGAAGTGGCACATTGGCTTCACAGTACAGAACAGGTATAGTTGGGGAATGCGCGGGAGTTTCATACCTTTGTCACAGAGAATCCTGCTCAACTTCATTTGGAACGCCGTCCAATGTAAGTCGGAGAACTATAAGGATGCGCTTGGTACCATGATGCTAAATTAACTCAGGTTGGAATGGCGGCCGTCTAGTCGCTGTGTGCTTGACCGCGATCTGGCCTTCGTATGCCCGTATGCCGAACACGTTTAGCCCCAACTTCCCTGCTACAACCGACCAGTTCGTGGGATTCGTAGTCTTCTGGTTCATATCGACACCTTTTTTGTGGCTGCGACCGGAGAAGTTCAAGATACCGTTCCTCATAGTCTGCCTCTGGTGCGGCATCGGAATGCTAGCATGGATGATCTGGGCAGTGACGACTGCTAAAGGTGTAGGCCCTCTATGGAATGCTGGTGAAAACATTCCTTCGGGTTCCGCTTGGGGTACCTCGTGGCTCATCATGGCTGGCATCAATCAAAGCCTTGGTGGCATTGCCGCGGGTATCACAAACGGTAGCGACTTCTCACGCTATTCGCGTGGAAGAACACCCTACATGGTCGGTACTATTACTAGCTGTGTGATCACCAGCGTCATCGTCTCTCTAGTTGGTCTTGTTACAACTGCGTCGGGGCAAAAGTTGTACGGAGAGATCTATTGGAACCCACCGGATCTACTCATGCGCATGATGGACAACGGCAACGGCTCATCGAAAGCACGTGCGGGGGTATTCTTCCTGGCTGCAGGTTTCGCATTCACCGCAATGTTCGAGAACATTTGCGGAAACGCTGTCTCTGGTGGTATCGATCTTGCTGGCCTTTTTCCACGTTACATCAACATACGACGTGGTGCCATCATTACGTTTGTGGCGGCATGGGTCGTTCAACCCTGGCAGCTCATCAACCGTGCCACTACATTTATCGCCGTGCTGTCTTCCTTCTCGGTGTTTCTAGCACCAATCATCGGCATAATGGCATGCGACTACTTCCTCTTGCGAAAGAGAAGGATCCGCTTGAGTCATTTATATCGAACGGAAGACTCGTCGTATTGGTTCAGCAAGGGTTTCAACTGGCGAGCGATACCCTCATGGCTATGTGGCTGGATCCCGACGATTGGGGGTCTTATAGTGACAGTAAGAGGAGATGTCGATCCACCACGGGCTTTGGTACAGCTCTACAATATGGCCTTCTTCATAGGTGAGAAAATTGTCTCACGACCTTGGAAATTGAAGGGCCACTGACACTTTAACAGGATTCTTCATCAGCGCTTTCATCTTCTATGTCCTCAACAAGATCTTCCCAGTTCCTGATATGGACCAGATCGATCCCATCGATTTATACGGTACCTTCACAGAAGCGGAGGCAAAGCGAGCTGGTGTAGCTCCGCTAGACGACAGCCCTATTCTGAGAGGGGTATCTGGGCGAAGATCGACCGAGCATGTTGTCATTCATGCAGAGAAGGATGTGTGAGTGGGGTAAACACATAGATTAGAACCATGTAGAATTCGTCACATGGAGGCTTGTAAAGTAGGCTCGGCCAATCATTTGACGTTTCACAGCCTAGCCACGCCGCAATACTGCATAAACATCGCCCAAAGAGCTATCGAGGACTTATAGGCTTTGGCTAGATGGCGGGGCTGAGCACAGGAGGGATGCACCACAAGAAGTACCTGTTACCTTGGAATCTGTCGCGCAAGTTCTTCTTTTCGTCGCTTCGCTCTTGCCTACGCTACCAGCTCGGTACATCTATACTATTAATCCTGGTCTGAGCTTTAACACCACAGATCGCAATGGCTCATCGCCGACATGATAGCGCGATGTCTCAAACGGACATACCGCTGATACCTCATGCAGGCGATGGCGACGCTGCATCTGCTCTGCAGTCACTGACAGCTAATTCTGGGCAAAACACTAACTTCCGAACACTTGCAAAATCCCATTGGCTCACCCCGACAAACATGTTGGCTTCTTATTTCTTCGGCATTGCTCTCGCAGTAGGACATCATCGATATTACACAACGCTGGATGGAGATGTGATAGGCTCGACAGGGCGACAGCAGTGGTCATTACGGTATGTACCAAGACGTACGCCCACGTTCATGACTGACGCTTGTAAGATTCGGTAACGCTTTCGCAATCAGCATCGCTCTGAGCCTCAAGATCGCCGTCGGCATCGCATACACGCAGTATGTATGGATGCGTCTCCGGAAGCGATCGATAAGCTTGAGATCTATCGACGACTCTTTCGATATTTCGAGAAACTTATCCGCTTTCTTCAACCTTGAAGTCATCCGGAAGCTGCACGTAGGGCTCATGGTTGCACTCATACTATGGTAAGTGATAGACGCACCGTTGGGTGCTTATTACTGACGGTATGTAGGTGTCTACCATTACCAACACTGTTCGCTCCCCCAACATTATCAGTCGAGACAAGAACAACGCAATCACACTCTATAGAACAAGCGCTAAGAGCGGACGTTAATAATCTCAACATGTCAGACGCGTTCATACTCAGGCAATCTGCGAATCGTCCTTGGATTACGGGTCCTTCAGCTCGGCTTGGACGAATCGTCAGCGCAGTCATATATTCCGGTGGCCGTCTTCCATTCGAGACACCTTATTCGCATCTAAACACGTCTTACGAGACAGAAGCCTATTTGCCGGTACTAAAATGCACGGCAGCAAACAGCACCGTTCACAACGACATACTGCGGTTTGCTAATGAGACAAGAGTCGCTGCAGCGAATAACTTGACCATCGATAGTCTAAAGTGGATGAACTCTGACATTCCGTCCGGTGGAGAGATTGGATACCTCGGACTCTCATATCCAAATACTCTAGGAGAATCTACATCAGGTCTGAACTGGAACAATACTAAGCAAACCGCCAATGAGTTTGCTTTTGCTATCCAGAAACGTCCAACTGATGTAGCGTATCAGTCTGATACCGAGTATTTGTTGTGCGAAGTGTGGAACGCTACCGTTTTCTACACCGTCAATACCCGCAGCAGTATAGTCAGCATTGAAAACGTCCATTGGGAGTTGCTCAACAAGTTCGATCCGCAGAGCGCCATCCCCATCAACGAATTAGAGTCAGCCGGAGGCTGGCCAGCCTCCGGCTCTCCCGCCTATTCCGGATATACGATAGGCCTAGCGAGTTATTTGCTTGGGTACGTGGCCTGGCGCAGAGATAACTCCCGTACTAAGCTGGATTCGACTGGTCCGCTTGATACGACATCTCTCTCTACAGGTTCGCAGTTTTACAACATGACTCGCAACATGAACGAGGCGATTGAGGCTGTCAACACTCTCCAAAACCCGTCCAGCGTCCGGGCTATTTCGTTCCGTGAGGACGTCGAAGCATTTGCGCTGAATGTGTCTTTGAGCATGATCAACGATGCTTCACTTTGGTAAGTTACAATCTCAAGATGCATTCGAGGGCTAACGTAGTAAAACAAAGTACCAAAGTCCCCGTCAATGTCACCACGTTCACCTCTGCGGTCGTCTACGCATACAACCCGCAGAACCTCCTGCTCTCATACGGATTGGCCATCCTTGCTAGTACCATCTCCATTGCCTTTGGACTGTTTGCGATGTGGAAGAACGGTGCATGTTATGACAATCGAATGTCTACTTTTGGCACGGCAATGCAAGGTTTTGATGTAAGTGTGAACGAAGAGGACAGACCCGATCAGCAGCTCACAGTAAGCCAGGTCAAGGAGGTGTTCGAGGATTCTAAGACACGTGCGGCACAACCGCTGAGAGGTCAAGCTGCGAAGACAAAGCTGATGTTCGATGCGGAAGAAGGCTTCGTACTTGGCCACCGCAAGCGGCCCAGCGAAGGCTCAAGTATCGGCACGCCTATAAGAGAAGACGGTTTCGTATTCGGCCACCGCAAGCGGCCCAGCGGAGGCTCAAATATCGGCACGCCTATAACAGAAGAAGGTTTCGTACTAGGCCACCGCAAACGGGCCAGCGAAGGTTCAAACGTCGGCACGCCTATCAGAGAATGAGACCTCGGCATTCGGCGCGCGACGTACACATATGGCGATTACACGGTTCCGATGCATTTGGATAATTATTTAATTGTCGTTTCGCCCAGGAAACTTCGCTGATGAGCACGGGGAGTACCAATTAGACCAGATCTCATACATCTAATTAATATCCGAAGCCTTCACAACCGTACCAAACATGTCATCAATCTCCGTCAAAGCAATCCTCTTAACCTGCGCAGCCGGAATATCCTTCATATCGCGCTGACCAACACCGTCTTCCACGACAAGAGCCTCGTATCCCAAAGTAGTCGCTTCGCGAGCGGTACTCGACACACAACCATGCACCATGTAACCCGTGAGAACAAGTTTCTTGAGTCCAGTCTTCTTAACAACTTCTGCTAGATCTGTCTCTGAGAAAGATCCAGCGTGCTTCTTCCACACGACAGGCTCGCCGTTGATAGCTTCGATGCCGTCCATTTCCTTGGTGAGCTTGCCGTTGGGCTTGAAGATAGCTGCTTCGTCATCGCCCGTGTTGTGCAGGATGTGGACGATGTGGCCGTTTTGCTTTCGGTATTTTTTGAGGAGGCTGGAGATGGCGACGTTGACCTCCTTGTAGTCTTGAGCAGGTAAGCTACCATAGATGTATTCGTCTTGAGCGTCGATGATGACGAGAACGGAGTCTTTGACCGATGCTGTTGAGTTGGGGACTCCGATGACCGAGCGAAGAGAGGGAGTTGACATTCCGGAAGGCTGGTTTTGGGTGATTGGGAAGTTGAGGAGTAGATGGTGTATATAGAAATGATCAATCGTCAGGCAGTTGATTGGAGCGTCGAGGGTGATGGATGTGTTGGTTGTCCATTTCTGTAAACCCGTCGACCTTTATATCGTCGACCGATAGCCGCTGCGAGATTCTCGTACATTCGTCCGTCACATACCGAGACCAAAATTCTGATCTGATATCGTAAGCCAGCGTTATGTTTCCTTAATTGTTCGGACCGTGCTGTTTGGTGAGCTAGCAAAGAAATAATGTTACCCCATACGGTTAGCCGGATTTCTGTGGACTGATCACTAACCAGAGCCTCTTAATAAGGCGGACACGTCTTGTGCGAACATCACTTCCTGTCCCTCACTCAACACCTGTCACATCGTATAGTGTGCGATTCAGCCCCTCTAGTCCAACAACGCTCAGTCTCCCTTCCACAGCTTTCGCACGCTTTTGGCTCGCTCTGGGTGTTGTTCATCTCGTCGGGCAGGGTATGTCGCGGAATGGTCAGACGCTTTACCTCGTTGGGCTTCTCAAGCTGCTGCGGTGAAGGCCAATGATGAGTAGACTCGTGGTGATGGAGTACGGATAGCCACCAAAGAAATCGGTGCTCTTTCGGTCGCTGCAAAACCCGTAGTGTAGGGTCGCTGCTGATTTCCCTTATAGCCCACTCCGCAGCGTGATCGTCCACTTTAAGGTGCGCGAATGAATATGTTCCCCTCTTCGTATACAAACAAGGGTATTTGTCTGCGAACGCATCGTAATTCATACTCGTCAGGCTGAACTGTACAAGAGGAAACTGTCCCGCCATCTGCCCCCACGACCTGTTGGAGGTCGTGAGTCCGTCACAACCTGGGAAAATGAAGAGCACACGGATCGGGCGCCCTGCTAGCTCTTGGTAGTGTAGGATAGCCTGCTTGATCGACTCGCGGTAATGAGAGGTTTGGCTTAGCTGACCGAAGACGGTTTCCATGGAGGAGTCGTGTCTCAAAAAATACGGTAGGTATATTGGCGATGCGATTTCCATTTCCCACACGTTATCAGGATGCGCGAGTCTGGTGTGGGGCATAGCCAGACGATTGCAGACACGGTTCCACGTGTTGTATAGCGCATCCACGTGAGCGTGCGCTTCCGTCTCTGCGTCCTGGCATGCGGAATTTCCTTGGATCGGGGTCCGCTGGATCGCGAACAAGACAGCACGATATCGAAGGTCTCTCTAATATCTTCGGTATTGTCGTGGACATGTACGTCTGTCCCAAATAGTGCTCTTGCGTCAGGGCAGCACGTATAACTGACGGCAGGGTTGATAGTAATCGGTCTGTCTGAGCGGGTGAGAGAAGGTCGCACCTCGACTCCGTCTTCGTCGATCTGTATGAGTAGACCCTTTGAGCTGCTGAAATCTCTCCATTTAGGCTCCTTTATATTGGCGGTCCACGTAGCCGACCAACGTCTCGTCAATCTCGTGAAGAGGACGTTCGGTATCAGGCCGTCCGGCTCGTGCTCGAGAACAGCCATGATTGTGCGAAGCTTTGTGACTACGAATGCCTTTCTTTCAACGAGTATATCCATGTCGTCGGATGTCGCTCGAGCCAGTATGTCGACATTGGGCGCTGAACTGGACACGGATTTGGACGCTGAGGGGGACGCGGAGGTGGACGCGGAGGTGGGCGTGGGGGCAGCGATGATGGTACAGTACTCATCCTGAATGGCCTTGCTCCATGGTCCCACTTCAGTCGTCTCAGTCGTACGGCGCCAGAGTAATTTGGCTTTTTGTGGCGAACATCCGATCCATGGCTGGGTGATGGCGTTCGGGTCTTCCTTCTATGAAACGGTACGATGGTAGGTAGGTGTACTCAGCATACGCACTGCATCGGGTGCACTCGACCATATTTATTTTCCACTCGGACCGATCGCAAAGGCGAATCCAGATGCCGGCTTCCTAGTAGCGTTGCATCGCGCGAGATCTAGCTCTTCAAACTGCACCTACGTCATCGATCCGGTAGTGCCGAGCATCAACTATATCCAACTGAAATCCATCATGATGCTTGGTATCCTTACCCCCCTCGATACCAAAGAAAAAGCCTTCAGACACCATGGCACCAGGCGATAACCTCCCCGATTTTCTCACGAATACCAAGCTCGACCCTAGCTTCGACAAAGACATTCTCGACACACATCTAATCTACGATTACGATGCGCAAGACAAAGATGGCAACCCCGAAAAGTGGCGGTACGAACTATGGTGTTTCTCTTCGGAACGTGTCGTATATGCCATCCACGGTGGTCCGATGGCTGGCCGCATAAACTACCAGCGCGCAACATACCAATGTATCCGTCCCGGTGAACTTTGGCAGATAAACTGGCTCGAGGAGACGGGCAGCATCGTTTCTGCGGTCTACGACATCAAGGAGAAGAGGATGACGACGTTGATCGCATTCTCGGAGGGTCACTGGAAGAGGGCGAAGGAGGCTCTGGGCGATAAGAGGAAGAAGGAGGATCTGGAGAGATGGAGGGGCCTGGCTGGTGTGGGAAACCAGACGTCGAGGTTCATGCTGAGCGAGCAGGCTCATGTTGTAGAGGTGTTCAAAGGCAAGGGTGAACTGGTGCCGATCAAAGAGAGCGATCCCCTGTTCTGATTGTGTATAACCGATGGACATCAACCAATGAAGCCGTTACCATGTACCATTCATCTCGCATGGTATGTCCGTTCTTGACTATGGCAAATATGTTAGATGAGATCATGATGTTGGTACCATTGCATGGCATGAGATGAGGTTTACAAGGGATCGCAACCTGTCGGAACCATAGTGCCGGTAATGAAGTCAAAGCAATGTAACTTGCATTGCAGACTGGCAGTGCGACCATCCACGCGATGCTGTGTAGCAAGCCAGTGCCACAATGTAACCGAAGCGGTGAGCCATCCTGCCACAGTTCGGCGACCTGTTCGGCGTTCTGGCATACCGTTACATGTTGTCGCAGACATCCATTACGACGCCATTCGGGTTCTCGTGCGCATGCGATACGCATTTGTCATCCAGACTTGGTATCTTTGTGTGTCTGTCTCAAGGGCTTATGACATATAGAAACCGTCGTCCAGGACTACTCTCCATATTCCTCTGGCACTCCTCGCTTGACCACACAACATGCGTTACACCGAGAGAGCGGGAGGCGGAGGACCGATGTGGGAATGTCTCAATATCGCTTGGTTTCAATAAGTCAACAAAACAGTCGGATTCCGTTAGGGTCAGAAGATGCGCTCGGAGCAGTAGTAACAAGTCTCGCTTGTGCTCCGGTGGATGCCGGGGCATTCCCGACCCGGTGGTCCTTTGTTCCTATGGGATACTCAATGCTTGTGATGATCTTGGTCTTTTGGCAGGTTTCTTTAGTACGACGAAGGCTATAATGTGCTGCGGTCAGAATGTGAAGGCATTGCTGACGTCGCTCTTGAGTACGTGTCGTCATCTTTCCGAACTCTTACGTTGCTTTTGCTCGCATTCTATAGGAACATCGTGTAGTCACTTGCGACCACGTGCGGTGCTGCGGGTGTCGCTGTACTTGAAGAAATAATGGATTGGTTTTCTCCTTCCGTACAGCCGGGTGAAGGCACTGCACACGTCTGATAACGGTGTGGGGTAATGCCCGTCAGCAGCCAGGTCCCAGCGCAACGCTTCCTCGTATGCCCAGCGGGCTTCACGGCATTCCTTCAGCGCGGGGTCCTCTGGCCCTGCGTAAGATATAGGCAAGGTTTGTACCGGACGTTTCAGTCGCTTCTCGAAGACACTGAAGGTCCAGGGCTGGTGGGAGCGGCGCACGCCGTGGCTGTTAGCGGCATGTTGTGAGTGGTGAGTGGCTTGGTTGGACAAAGAACAGACCGCATGTTCGGAGTCCGATGCCTGCTAAGCGCCCGCAGTCTGCTGCTGTAAGGACGGTGAGACTCGTCATGCGCCATTGGGCTGGTCTTACGCTAAGACCAGATGTGTAGAGAGATTGAGCAAACGAAAGGACTCCATGGCAATCTCCACTCACGCCATGTTGGATGATGGACGAAGGCACGCCGACAGCTCCGGGCCATCGCACGAGAGCATAACATATCATCGGGACCGCCAAGGGCATGCAGCCAACCGTGCTTTGATGAGGGAAAAGTCAAATGGCAGAGTTAATCTTCCGATGCATTGCTCCGGCCCTTGAGTATGGAGTGTCAGTCTGGCGCTAGCGCATAAGCTAGCCGTGCGCGGCCGTGCGTCGTGAACCCTATCTCCCCAGTACGCCATGTGCCACAACGACAGTCGGTATGACAGGGCGCGGCGGGCGCGACGCTACTCGCCCATGGGCTCTTATGGTGCTTCATCAGCTGTTGCCAGCCTGCCAGCTATGTCCAGCCCGCCGTCCCTCTTTCCTCGTGTGCCTCCATATTCCTTTTGCTGCCTCGCGACCCCAGGCTGAATCACCACCCCGTTTCATTTCGACTTGCTTTTTACTCCTCGGTCTGGAACAAGTCGCCTTCAAATATTCGCCAGTCTGAACTTTCACACCACACAAACCCCAACCATGGACCGCCCAGCACTCACATCACGGGAGCATCTGGAGCTCTTGCGAAGCTCTGCGTTTGAATCCGAACATGCCTGGCTCTACGACACTTCCTATCTGCAACATGAGGCAGCAGCAATGGCGTTGGAGCAAGAGATTGAGCAATCGCATGCCAGTATATCGCCAGACGACAACTCAGACGAGCAAGTGCGCATCATCAAGACGCAGATCAACATCCACAGGGAGAGGCAGCGGGCGCTAAGGCCGCATCTTGAAAGTGGGAGCGACCAGATCGACGAAGATGGGAACGAGTGTGTCTTTGTAGCAGCACCGAACCAATGGGGTGCGAACGGAGACTTGGACGAGGAGAGCGAGAGTCTGTCTGCAGTGAGTAGCAATTCCTGTCCACTACTGGGTCGTAACTAACATGACTCAGATCCACAACCTCCTTACATGGCAAACTTCATACTCGCCTGTCTCACATGCCCCGCGAGACGAACTCCCCTCCCCAAATACACCGTACCACTCGCTGCTCGACCCTCACCAGCCCACGACCACGTACAATCTTCACCGTACGCGAGAATGGACGGGATCTTCAGGCTTCAGGAAATTCATCTACAGCGCACGCGACTACTCGGATAAATACGCTCTATACATGCTTGAAGCCACCCACCGCGACGACAGCCAAGTCAACGCTGCAGACTTCTTCCGTGTCGCAGAGTACCCACAACCATGCATAAACATCCTTCTCTCTGGCATTGACAAGAAGCGCGCCATGACCAAAGACGCGGCCTACAAGTCGCGGTGCATACATCTACGCGGACCATTCTCGCAACCGATCAAAGAATACCCAGATAGGCAGCAGAAGATACCGTGGTCACCGCGACGATTCAAATATGGTGGACGTCGCTTCGTCTGGAAGCAAGGAGATCCTAACGACGATGCCATGCCGGAGACTTTGTACGAATATCAGCAAGACTGGGTAAAGCCAGGAAGCAGGACGGGCAAGCGATGCGACGATGCAAAGCTGATCAAACTTGTTTGGGGAGAAAAGAGGAGGAAGGGTAAAGTGGACAGTTACACGATCCATTTCAAGGGCGGCATGGATCAAGTCTTTAGGGAGATCTTGCTGGCCAGTCAGATGGCCAGGCAGGTATGTCTCTTTACCGCGATGGACTGAAGTCGCTATCTTTCGTCAGCCAAGGATGAAATTGTACTTGTATATAACCACACAGCGCGAGGCGTTCAAAGGGGCCGTGGGACACGGGACGGATACCACGGAACAGCATTTTGCAGTCAGTTCCCAGCGGAGCTTTCTGCTATTACAGTTTACAAGATCTTGGGAGTGGGCAGCAGGCTTCTCTACTACCTTGGACATAATTCCGGCCCAAGGGCAACACTAATCAAACTCAAATATTAATCCTTCCATAGGGCAGCAACACAGTCTTTCACCAGCTTCTCACTTGATAACTACTCACCCAGAATGAATTGCGAAAAATGAGTCAAATTGCGTGACCGTCTGCATGCAATTCATCTGACTCAACAGAATGCCCACGTTGAAGCGAAGAGAGGGAACATCCGCAGGACCGTTACATTGTGTAAGCTGCATATGCATGCTACGCTGTAGATTAGATGATAGCCTTGCTAACATACGCCCCTTACGGTATGTTGGCGCTGGTCGCATTGGCGGACCCTGCGATGATTGCGTTGGCTACTTTTTGGAAATACAAAATTATGCACCATCGGCTGTGGCTGAAGTTGGTCGTAGGTGGTAATAAGCATGTTGTTTTTTGTGGCGTGGCTCTACGCGCGAAATCCAATGCATGACCAACTCGAGTACCACCATGTTAGGCAGGCTCGGATCTCTCGGAGGAGTGCGATTCAGGAAAGCGTGCTCATCATGCTCAGGTGGAACAACGCTCCTTCCTACCATGTCGCCTGAACCAGCATGTAAATGCAGGCGCTGTACACCGGTGTAGGTAAATATCACGATGACTTCATCGCCAGTCATTCGTGCATGCTCTCCAAACCCATCATCGATCACATCTCCCCACGCACTCATATCGCATTATTGGTCACAGCGTACCCACCTGTGATATTCGTTACTGATATCTTTCCTGGATCAAGGGCATCAATTCGACGTTGAAAGCTGCCAAACCCAAAATCTCACCTGCGTCTTCGGCTGACGCCCACCGCTTCGCAACAGAACCGACAACCTGTTAGCACACCCTGGTGCATACGCCACTTTGCGGGTATATCAAATCACAACCCGGAGCGTGCGTTACTGCATACAACCCGACCGATCAGCACGCAACGGGGCCCACGTACATCGCTTACAGCTTACAGCGAGGGCCAGCAACACCAACATACCCGCTTCACCGTCTCGGAAGGACCCTCGCGGAGGAAGACCCACCAGTCATGTTTGCAGATCGCAACATGAAGCTGCGAATGTCAACATACCTCTTCTGCTGCGCGTTGATCTCGCCCCCTCCTCTCTCAGACCTCCTATCAAATTACTTCACCAAGTCGCCCAAGATCACAGAGCACGGCCCTGAGTGGTCACGCTCGCGGCTGCCTTTCCTAGCCAAGACATTCTCTGGCAAAGACGGCTGCGAGGAGTACTTCAAGTTGATGACTGATGTGCTGGACATGGCCTTGCCGGATGATGCGTTCCCGCGAGACAGCGGGTTCATTGTGGATGCAGATGCTGGGATGGTGAGTGTTGTTGGCAAAGGAAGGTTTACGAGCAAGAAGACGGGCAAGGGATGGGATGAGCAGTTCATCTATCGTTTTAGTGGGTTTGATCATGAGGGGAAGATAGGGCATTGGGAGATTTGGGCGGATCCTTTGAGTGCTTGGGAGGCTGTTGGGGAGTGAGCCTTCTCATGTCATCGTTGGAACTCGTGGATATCGGAAGACCGATTGAGGATTCGACAGCTAGGTATATACCTTCAGCGACAAGCTTAAATTGCTAGAGATTTGAAGTTTACAGCAAATGTATGAATGCAGGTAGAGCTAGCGTGTGAAAGCCGTTAGCGTCTCGCTTGAATAATGTGGGTCTCTGGCGGCGGCTTCTGCAGCTTCCTCTGAGCCCTAAACTTTTCTTCATCTGCTCTTACACGCCGCCAAACCAGCTCTACAACACCATGGTGCAAGCTGCGCAAAGCCCTACAGAGCAGTAGTGCGCATCAATAGTAGTCCGCTGATTGTTTTACACTAACCTACAGCCGCTGCTCGCTGTGCTTCATTTCTCATGGTACGTCAAACATCTCCTTCTATTCACCGCATCCGCATCCTCGCGACGCGCGCACAGCTCAAAAGATGATATGTACATCGACCATTAAACACTTTAGGAAGAGCCGGAAAAGGTATGGCTAGCATCGACAAATGCTACGCCGTCGCTGCTTATAACTTGGTCTCTGAAGAGCATCACCACGTTCACGTCATGGAAACTGGGTTTTGAACTGTCGCTGACGATGCAAAGATTAGGTGCATGCTACTTACGATATCCTAAGCGACCGCTACACACAACGCGTGACGTACACGACGCGCGATGTCGATTCGGGGGTACAGAGATGACATATCGCGCGAGCAGATGTGATGACAAGGGCACAATGCGACATCTTGAGAGATGCGCATGGCATATTATGTATTGACGCTACGGAGGCTACGTCTGCAGAGTACTGCTTGCGCTATCGCTGTCGAATAAGGCCGCGGCATCCAACTCGAGTGTGGAGACGGACGGCCTCGCCTTCTCGTACAAGCCCATCGTGTCTGGCAACCCTAGGAAGGGGTCGGCAAGGTTGCCGCAGCCGGCAGGCCACGAGATCGATTGATCGAACGCATAGCTGTCGCTCCAAGACTGGATAAAGTTGGTCATGTCGAAGTCGAGATCGGGATTGATCATAGAGGATTCCCCTTCGAGTACGGCGAGATCATCCGTGTTGTGGGCACTCGAGTCTGTACCCAAGTCGACTAGATCATTGAAATCGAACGTATCCCAATCCCAAGACTGAATACTTCCATCTGCTGCTGTCGCCGATGTCGATAGCGTGCTGGGGCTGTTGCGCTCGTTCGCCTTTCTCTTTGCGTACTCCTTCGGCGTCAACCCCGTCTTGTCCTTGAAGATCTTGTGGAAGTACCGCGGCGTGAGGTTAACCTTCTTGGCTAGGTCTTGCAGTCTCAATGCGCTGGCGTCCTCGTTCCTCAAGGCTTCCTCAATCAATACACATGCTTTCTCCACCGCTCGCTCCTGTGGATCCTCGAGTACGGTGTTGGGCTTGCATCTCTTGCAGGCCCTGAACCCGGCTGCCTCTGCTTCTAACGGTGTAGCATAGAATCCGACATTTGCTCTACGCGCTAGTCGGCCCGGACATGTTGGTCGACAGTATATTCGGGTGGATTTGACGGAGTAGATGAAATGGCCATTCGCGTCTGCGTCTCGTATCGAAAGGGCTCGCCACCGTGCAGCATCAGTCGCATAAGCCATGGGATAGGATTTGTACAAGAGGACTACGTAATTAGCATGACTTCAAGTCTCGCAGCGATGGTGCGCAAAGTATACCTTCTATGTTGTAAACCTAGAGATGTTTCCAAACAGCAGGAACGTCTGAAGCTCAACAACGCGAATGTACAGCAGGCCCAAAATCGTCTTGCGCGAATCTCAGATGGTAAAAAAACAGTCAGTCAGATACGTGAAGCGACAGTAATCGCGGCAACGGGCCCTCTTAAGAGCTCTGGAAGTCTTCCCGCATCCCAAGGCTATCTACGCTGTGATTGGATACTTTGAGAGCCAGTTCGAGAGCACGCGATGACGCACGCTAAACTCATCTCTATCAACACATGGATATCGCGTATAAACACGCGATTTACGCAGCAATCCTTACAAGAATATGCGCCGATGTGAAAGCGATGGGTGCGCACGTCAACCACTTGTCGCGTCGCGTCGGGCTCTTTCCACGTCGGACGCGACTTTGATGGAAGAGGTAGGCACGATGAAGGCACCGACTACCAAACCATGAGTCTCACTCGGGTTCAACCTTCTGCCACCGATGGGACCTCCGCGAGTTCATTCTCGCTCCTACCAGCATGGCGGAAGGCCTCGACATTGTTGCGGTGCCCAGCATCGCGGCTCTCCCACCAACGACAACGCGACAGATCGGTTCCGGACAGGTCCTCGTGGATCCCAGTTCCGTCGTCAAGGAGCTCATAGACAATGCTCTAGATGCGCGAGCGAAGAGTATATTTGTGGATATCACTGCTAACACGGTCGACTCTATCCAAGTCAAAGACGATGGCCATGGTATACCAGATGAAGATCGCCCTCTTGTATGTCGCCGCTACTGCACCAGCAAGATTAGAGACTATCATGACTTGAGAGAAGTCGGAGGGAAATGGCTGGGCTTTCGTGGTGAGGCACTATCAAGCATGGCCGACATGAGTGGCTCGCTCTCTGTCACTACTCGAGTAGAAGGAGAGCCAGTCGCTGTCAAGCTGAAGTATGATCGGAACGGCGAGCTGGCTTCGTAAGACATCAATGGTAATCTCACGGATAGCTATCACAGACTAATGTATGCAGCACTGAACACGACTCCCATCCAGTTGGCACGACGGTTAAGGTTACCAAGTTCTTTGACTTCATACCCGTCCGAAAGGAGACCGCGATGAAAAATTCAGCGAAGGCGCTTGCGAAGATCCGGCGGTTGATGCAAGCCTATGCACTGGCCAGGCCTACTATACGCTTCAGGCTTCGCGTACTGAGAGCGAAGAACAGTAATAGTGACTTTGTCTATGCGCCGAAAGCCGACGCCAACATTGAAGATGCAGTCCTGAAAGTCATCGGTAAGGATTGCGCTCTACAGTGTGATTGGACTGCACTGGAGGCCAACGGCTTCGAGGTTCATGCTTTCCTGCCCAAGCCAGGTGCAAGCGGACCGAAGATAGCCCATCAAGGAGCGTTTGTCTCGATCGATGCAAGGCCTGTGTCGAGCAGTCGTGGCACTATCAAGCGGATCATTACAACTTACAAAGAACGACTCCGAAAATCAGCGCCTTCGCTGGCTGGCGTCAAGGATCCGTTCTTCTGCATGAACATCATTTGCCCGCCTGACAGTTACGACCCTAACATCGAGCCAGCCAAAGACGACGTCATGTTCGATAACAGCGAAGTGGTCGTCGCGGTTGTGGATAAGCTGCTAAAAGCTTATTATCCTGAGGCTGTCCAGGATATTCCAGATATTCAGGATGCTGAGATGCCGACGTCTGCACAACGGCGGTACGAGGCCCAATCTGAGGAGCTACCGCGTCACATCAAAAGTTCCATTACGATACATGAGGATGAGCCTACAGATTGGAATGAGCAACCCACGACTGATCCAGCTCAGGCGCTGCCACGCTGGAGGTCAAGCATGTATGGTATTGATGAGGATGACCTTGAGTTTCTGCAAGAAAACCCAGCGCCTGTGGTCGAAGAAGAAGATGAGAAGGGTCTACGCGCAGTGGAAGTGTCTAATCCATGGACCATTGCTCGAATGAACACTACGATCAAGCCCAAACAAGCTGCGAGTAACGAACAACTGCTGAGCCCGGCCAAAAGCCAGAGAGGGAGCGACGCGCATGCTCCCTCTCCCAGTCCTGCTGTTACTCCACGCCGTCCATTGTCAGCGGCGCCCTTAACACCTCAGACGTTGTCAAAGACGAACATGAGATCTCCTCTGGATGCCGAACTGGAGCGCAGTATCCATCATATGTCGCACCCCAGTTCAGAAGCTGGTGCTCTCGACGATAGGACGCAAGAGCGGGGCACGGACGATCGAGGTCGTCACGAGCGTATCGGGCCACTGCCACAGACCGGCATATCAAGCCATTTCGCACGATCTGACATTAATTCCATCAAGCCAGGACTCACGGACTACAATCACAGCGGAAAAGGCTCACAGCGATTGACTTCTCCAATGATGTCGGCTCCTCGCAACCGCCGTACTCAACCGGCCTATGCAAATACACCATTTGCACCACCAAAGCAAAGGTCAAATGGTATGGGGCTTGGAGAATATGTACTTGGCACACAAGCTCTCGAACCAGCTCGTCGACAGAAGCAGGCCAAGAAGATTGGAGGAGCGCCATTCCCAAACAACGCCTCATCTTCTCCGAGCAGACCCGTGTTGAACCCAGCGGACCGGCCAGTGGCAATACAACCTCATTCAAACGACAATACTGATATCCGTACCTTCTTTGGACGCGGCAGAGACAAGGACATAGCTAATCCGCTGGTTGATGGTGTTTCTCGAGCTTCCTCAGCGGAACCACAGTCCCGCTCAAAGCGCGCCAGAGAATCTTCACTATTCTATAATGATGTTCAGATGGATACTGATCCGCGAGCGGTGGCTGATCGGCCCCAAACGTTTGCTGAACACGAAGACCATCGCTTTAGCCCTCAGATACCTACCCGAATCTCAAAGCCTCCAGCGACGCACCGTCCCGACCAAAGCGCCAAAGAGATGGAAGCATACTTCCAAACGCAAGAACAGCAACACTCCAGCTCCCCGTCCCGCCCCCAAAAAGCACCTCAAAGGCAGGAGCCTCGCATCGCACCACCCCACGAAACATCAAAGAAACCGCATCGACCCAGACGCCGCACAACAGACGCTCTCGAGCGTACCAAGTCCTCCAAACTCCCCTTGGAGCGCACACCCTCTGGTTTCCAGATCCAAGACCTGGTATTCCATCTTCCAGCCAGCATCGACACCATCGTTCAAAGCTCGCGTAAACTCGACATGCAGCGCAACAGCCCAGAGTGGGGTTACGCACCGGGAAGCGCATATGACGTGTTCGGCGAGCCGGTGCGTGAAAAGAAGATCATGGAGTGGGTGATTACGTTGGATGCACTCTTGTGTCAGCGGTATGACAGGATCGATGGACCAGATGCGCGGTGTGAGATGCATGAGGGGATTCAGCGGGCGCTTGATGCGCGGAAAGAGGCGGATGATGTCATGCAGAGGGAGGAGGTTTTGAGTGAAGGCGTACAGCGTGCTGCAGGCGAGAGAATCGAACATGATGTCTCGATGGATCTCGGTGATGCTTCTGGCGTCGTGGTTCAGCAGCCTGTCGTCGAGGAAGAGAAGAAGGTGCACGATGACTGCGAGTTCGATTTCGATATGGAGGAGTTTGTTGATCTGACGGGAGGGGATGAGAGGCAGAGTATGGGGACAGCAGGAGAGGCAGATGTGAGTGGAATTAAGGGTGAGTTTGACGACGATATCGAGGATGAGATGTTGATGGATTTATAGAGTATGTGGCAGAGAGCGACGTGATGGACGGATATCAATCGGCCTCAGCTATAGCTTTGCCATGTTGGAACATAGCTCACTCAGTGGGTATTAGCTCATGTGAAGCGTGTGCCCAACAACATGCTATCTTGCCCCTTTTACATCTACAGTGTATCCTCATACCTCCCTGAAAGCAACCTCCTCAGGCAACCTAAAACTAGCACAGAACATCCTCTTCTTCGGCGCCACATCTCTCACATCGTACACGTTCACATCCTCCATATCGGGTGTGATGACTGTACCCAACTGCCTACTAACTTCCTCGCAAATGCCCTTGATCTCCTCGACGTTATCATCGCTCTTGGTCGAGAAGCAATGCACATGGATCATGGGAAGCTTCTGCGACGTGTGTGGCGCGAGGAGTTTCTTGATTTCAGAGGCTGGGTATCCGGGGACATTGGCGTAGAGGCCGATGAAGGATGGGAGAAATGTAATGGCGGAGGCGGGGAGGTTCATGACGTAGTGCGAAAAGAATCGTGGTTGGACGAGCGTCTTGAGGGGTTCAGGCTGTTTGTTCTCTTCCGGTTTGCTGCGCGAGGATTTGGTTTTGGGGTAGATGGATACCGAATGCTCGTCGGTTGTCAATAGATTCGCGGAGGCTTGACGGATAAAGGCCCCGCCGTCGGTGTTGAAGGAACGGACAAAGTCGCCTACTTTGTTGATCTTGATGTTTCCCACGAGCGAGTTGTAGGATTCGGGGTTGAGGTCGTTGGCCCAGACGAAGCACTTCTTCTTGCCTGCGGGTACGGCAAAGGGTCCTACTCCGGCCATGACATCGCATATGGCTTCGCCTTCGCGGAAAATGTTGCAGAGCCGCTCGTGCTCCGTGTGTAGACGCGTGTTCCAGTATACTTTGGCAAAGTCGAATTTGAAGGTGCAGCCTTGCTCGCGCAGCTCAACGTTCA